AAGGGACGCTGAGTATTCCTAGAAGCTGGTATTACGTTTTAGATTACATTTTGTGAGTCGACAAGTAGTCGTCGCGTTGTGTCGCGCTGTCACGAACACTTCGCGACCCGTCGTCGCCTCACTACACCACCAACACTGAATTACTGTGCGACATTTGCATTCTCATAAATTTTTTTTTATAATTTTGCGTAGTTATCATTTAGAGATATCATTATGGAAATAATGGGATCTTACCATGTTTTATTTGTATGTGTCGCGTGATATTCTTAATTCACATCCCTTTAATAAAATCTCTTATAAGTAAATGAAATAAAATAGACGTAATTTTAAACCGTTGTACGATTTTTTTTTAATAATTTGACGTAGTAACTATGTACCTAGTTGAAGTTAAAGAGTGAATGTTGAAATATACAATGTAATAATAATATAGAGGAGAAGAAAAAATATTTTATGACACGTATTATTGCAACACGCAATGACATAAATGAATAATTAAATAGATGTAGGTACCTACATATATACATACTTTAAATAAGGATATCAGACTATATAAAAAAATATGGTGTTTTTGCATTGTAGATCCAAAAACTATAAAGATATTCCAAAAACTATAATATAATATATATTCTCTAAGTAAAAAGAAGAATGATTAAGAATTCTTAAACAATAAATTATGTGGGTAGGGAAAAATTAAAATCTCTTAGCTTTGCATGAGCTACCAAATACAAAGTCGCACTGTATTTTGTCCTATGAGTTATAGCCAATTTCGCTCGCCATTTCCCCCATTTTTTTCAATACGCGTTCGAGATCATTTAACATTTTTATGGGTAATCTTGCTCGGTGGCTATAAGACAAGATTTTTGCGCGCCTCTCACTTTATTTTATCGACTACGTTTTACGGCGAGCTTTAAACAGATTAAATCTAACAGAGTGGGGCACCTTCCAGATCCATTTCCCATTTTCTGGCCTGTATCTTGGTTTTATATATAAAAAAATTACGTGCTTCACTTCACACGTGGCTATCGTAAACGTTTTATTAAATTTGGAAAATACTCCTATAAATATTGCACTGATTAAATATTTTAAGAGGTACCTGAAGTAAATTTGAACGAGATGGAGACGGGAGGTAATTTCCATTATATCCAAAGGAGGTAGACATCCAGATATGGTCTACAACTTTCGTCGTTCTATTGATTAATAATAATGTCAAGAGAATTCACACAGCGCCAGACACAAGCTAAAACAAGCTTTAACTTGGCTAAGCTAGCTTAGCTTGGGTCTAGCCCAAGTTAAGCTAGCTAAAGTTTGTGTTAAGGGTACTAAATAAAAGATACAAATACATACATTTTTTTTCGTAAATACATACATATTATACATAAAAAGCACCAGGCCGATAAAAACAATCGTAGTCATGAATACAAATGTATGTACCGTGCAAGGAATCGAACCCACGACCATCGGATCTACGGCGGCGTGCTAAACCACTAGACCACCGAGGCCGTCTGATGTGTACTGATTATTTTTGCCTGCATTATAAGGATTTAATTTTTTTTATCATTAATCATAAACATAACATATATAAATTAGATTTCCAGTCCAAGCAGAAGCATAGCGGATTCATTTTATAGCTTGTTACTGCTTCGCATTGGATTAGTTGGACGGTCGGTTTGTGTAATGAATCGTATAAAACACGAGTTTTATAACGCGAACGCCTATCGTCCTTTTTAAATTATTCAACATTTGTATGGAAATACGAACGTCACCCCCGGCCTTACTACGCCTCCTTAAAAATACATTGCTTGTTATTTGTTGTCTTGGTTTGACGCTCACTCGCGATTTGATTGCTTTTTCATGTAGATCATATCGCGTTTATATTGCACACTTACATTTTTTCTCTATAAATTTTAATGGTGTGGGGTACAGCTCCTTTAGTTGAGTTATTTTCAGATTTACATATTGTTGCTACCATCATACATAAACTACATTAGTAGTACTCTGGAATGGCAACGCAAGATGGATACTGATGATACTGTGCACCCACCTGCGTCAACAGTTTAAGCTAGAGGGCGCAAGAGGAGGATAAGAGAATGAGCATGAAGTCAGATCAGTTAGCCCTTTGTGACAAATTCATCTGAAATTAATTGGTTGGTGATGGTTTCCAAGTGACCGCGTGGAGCTCCTTACTAAGCCCACTTCCCACACATACTACCATGTGGACCGTCAGCCTGTTTGCCGTTCCACTAAAAAAATCGCTACGGAGATATGACAACTTAGTTCTCAATAATAGTATTGATCTAAAATCTCAAACATCAATGTTCTAGTTTAATGAACAAAATTACCATCTATCATCGGCTATTTTTCAGTCTAGTTACATAAAAAAATTTCATCTAAACGATTATTCATCATCATCATCGAACGACTATTCACTTTTACAATTCTGTTTTTTCTTTTCAAAGCAATGGGATTAGGTTTAATAAAAAAATACACAAATGTACCTTGATTAACTATATATTTTGAATATTTAGGCATAAGGTATGTAAAATTAATTAATTGGTAGGTAGAGCTATATTGGATAAGCGTGTTTGCCATTCAGAGAAGTCAACAAAGGGGAAATCGACTGACATATTGATGTTGCAATACACCAAACACACGCCACGATATGGCACAGGTACCTACTACAAATACAAAGCTATGATCTAAAAATAGTATAAATTTTTTTTTTGGAAAGTACATTAGTATTTAAGTATAGCCGTTAAATATAAATGTCTATTTATTTATTTTTAACTAACTACTAAGGAAACAAGGTCTTGATTTATGTACCTATTTGTAAATTTATTCGTATTAAGTAGAAATACCTAATGTAATTATAAGTACCTACATACAGTCTGTTTTTTAATCTCGTAGACTAAATTGATAGGTAAATGTCAATTTTTCAAACAATGTTTCCCACATTACTTGTTTTGAAACTACTTACTACTATGTAATATTATGTTATCTGTGTTACTACTAAATAAAAATACATACCTAACCACGTTTATCTATAAAGTTATACCTATATCTACAACATAACAATATGCGTATTTTAAACTGAACAGCGGGTACCCAACAGACGAGGTCAAAATACGCGCCACCTTGTTTATATCATATTTTCTATCCGGAAGGTTTATTTTATTATTTCGATACGTAACCTCTCTTGTTGGCAGTGAGAACAATTTCAAACCACTCCACAACTTTAATGCAACAAGTTTCAACTATAACACGATGGAATAAGCCACATTTTAGTTCGCATCGACACTGATTTTAGGTGAGACCGTCATTCATGCTGGGCTAACCTTATATTCTTCGAAGAATGGTTGGTAAATTTTCAATACTCACTTTATTAGGGGTGAGAGCGGAAGGAGGGTGAGTGAAACGGCCTTTATTAGATTTTCTAGAAACGTGAGCACCTACAGCGAATTGCATAGTCTGCGTCGGACAACTGGAAATTGAAAACCAGATGAAATTGAGCAATTGCCTCTATTTAGGAAGTTATGAGACTTAACTTGTTAGATACTTTAAAATATATACAGTGTAATAGAGCCTTTTGGGCATGTAAAATTTAATGTCAAAATACATATTTGTGGAGAACCGACCCTGTAGGTACTAGGTATCTGTAGAACCTGTCTCACGAGTCACCTAGTAAAATGCTAACACGTCTAATGAGCTCACTGATCTGACTTCATTCTCATATTTATCATCTTTTACTGATTTTTATCCCGCACCATGCACCAAACTGTATATATATTCATATACCTATTTTGTATTGTATTATGATATTATATGTATATTTATAACATTTATTCCAATATTGTTACCATCATTACACCTCTACCAGACGCAAATCTAATCACTTCTCTCCATCCTAAGGTTGCCTGGAAGAGATCGCATTTTAGCGACAATGCCGCCCATTGTTACCTCTTTGTCTTGTTTATTGTTTTTTTTTTTATCATTTTATACATAATTGTACATGTAATTGTATTTTCTGTGAGATGAACAATAAAGAGTTTCATTCTTTCATTCATTCACTAAATTGTAGTTTTTACCTCTATGGACCATAAATTTGTTTATCCGTAAACCGGAGAGTCTCGACCATTGAATTACTATTACAGTAATAAGAATTTACAACAATGATAGGTACGTTCTATAGGTATATGTACCCGTATGTTACTAATAAAGTTTACTTTACCTATGTAAACTTTTTCATATTGCTATAGGTATTTAATGAAATATATCTTTAACCTGTTAACCGAGTGGGACGTATAAATACGTCAAACGTTAAACTTTTGTGTACGTGTAGGACATTATGTATACCTAAATTTTTTATTCATATCAAAAATATATAAATTATATTATATTGTGCTGACGTACTGACACGTCCTAGTCAGAAAGACAATGCCATATGCTGCGTAATTAAGAAAGGAATTCCCCGGTTAACAGGTTAAAAATACCGATTTATAATGTATTTGATAAAAAAATTGTATTTTTTATTAACCAGTCGTTGACGCTATAGGTGCACAAATTTTTAAAGATACCAAAGTAAGAATACTTCATTAAAATCATTGTTCCTCTATCTCACCTATTTCTGCCCCTAAGCAGATTTTAATATTCGAAATAAATTTCAATAAGTGCCATCTGTCCAAAGTTACTAATATTTTATATATAGTGAGTGGAAACTCACAAATACAAACTAGAAATATGAAAAAATAAACAGTATATCCAACAGATGGCGCTATTTCATTTTACGTTATTTATTATAACAAATATTGTTATTAGTAAATTTACTCATTTTTACCAAAATGTTTTTGTCATATAATAATTCATTGATTCATTCATGATTTTTTAAATTGATATAATATACCATAATATTTTTTAATGGCAACATCTACATCAAATTTATGCTTTTATCATCTAGAGCCGTAAAAACAGTCTAACAAAAAATAATAAATTTTGAGTTTGAGGTTAGAAGGAACAAAAATGGTTTTGTTGTGTTGTCCGTGAAGTGTCAAAGTATTTCTACAACAAACCTACGCCCTACTTACTAAGTTTTTAAAGCATAATATGTTTTATGTAAATTTAAAATAACAATCTATTTTAAAATGTCTGTCGTTATAGAAACTACGCTTGGAGACATTACAGTAGATTTATACTTGGACCAAAGACCTGTAACATGTCTCAACTTTTTAAAGTTATGCAAGATGAAATTCTACAATTTCAACCTCTTTCACTCTATACGAAGTGGATTTATTGCTCAAACTGGAGATCCAACTGGCGAAGGGTCGGGAGGTCAGTCTATCTTTGGATTACTAGAAGGTCCTGATAAACGATTTTTTTCTGGGGAGAAAATGCCGAAGATACGGCATACTAATGCAGGTCTGTTATCCATGGTGTGTACAGGAGACATGATGGTAGGATCACAGTTCTTTTTCACTCTAGCCCCCGATCTAGACTCATTAAATGCTATGCACTGCGTCATAGGAGAAGTAACTGAGGGCCACGATGTTTTAAGAAAACTCAATGAAGTCATATGTGATGAGACTCACCGCCCATATCAAGATGTAAGAATTACACATACTGTTGTTTTGGAGGACCCATTCAATGATCCTAAAGGTTTTAGAGCACCATCAAGATCTCCTTCTCCAAGTGCTGAACGTTTGAAAGGTGGTAGAATAGCTCCTGATGAGGAAATAGATGAAACACAAGGCAAAAGTGCTGCAGAAATACAAGAACTCATAGAAGAGAAGGAAGCAAAAGCTAGAGCAACTATTTTAGAAATAGTCGGTGACTTACCTGATGCTGATATTGCTCCGCCTGAAAATGTACTATTTGTATGTAAGCTCAATCCTGTCACAACTGACGAAGACTTAGAAATAATATTTAGTAGGTTTGGTAAGATTGTAAATTGTGAAGTAATAAGAGATAAAAAGACTGGAGATTCTTTACAGTATGCATTTATAGAATTTGCTGATAAAAAGTATTGTGAAGAAGCCTATTTCAAAATGGATAATGTATTAATTGATGACAGACGCATTCATGTGGATTTCTCACAATCTGTTTCTAAAATGAGATGGCTAGGGAAAGGAAGAGGTGTGAAATATTTTAATGATGAAGAAATAAAAAATAATCATAACAAGATACAAGTAAGTCGACCAGAGAGAAAAGATAGAAGAGAAAGAGATAGGAGTTACAGCAAAGATAAGCAATTAAGTGATAGAAACAAAAGATATGATAGTGAAAGGAGAAAGAATGGTACTGATAAGCACAATGAGAATAGACATGCATCAGATAGAGAGTTACAAAGTCATAGGAGGAGGAGCAGGAGCAGATCTAGGCAAGAAAGATCTAGAATGAATAAACTTAGACAGGACCATAATAATTCACGAGATCATGGCAACTATTCTAAACGTAAATACCTTGATGATTCACATAGGAATAATGATTTTAAAGATAGAGAAATTAGAACTGATAACCATAAATCGAAACCTTTAAAATCCAATAAGTCACCTTATAGGGAAAACAATGACAATCATGAAAGAAGAAAAAATCATGACTACACTAACAATAATGAAAAGGATACAAAAGAATCACAAAATAAATTAAAGCGTAAGCAAGTTGAAGACACAGATTCACATCCAAATCATAAAAGAGCCAAAAAGCATAAAAATGTAGAACCACATACCCCATCCCCTGTTTCTAAAAATAAAAAAGAAACAATTATGAAGGGAAAAATAAAGAAGATCAAGAGGAAGAGAAAAAGTGAAAAAAGAAGAAGAAAACCATCTACATCCTCTTCAGATAGTGATTCTTCAGACTCTAGTTCTTCTAGTAGTGAATCTAGTTCTTCTAGTGAAGACAGAAAAAAAAAGAAAATTAAAAGACGCAAAAAAAAATATTCATCATCAAGCAGTAGTGATTCTAGTGGGTCTTCATCTAGTACATCTAGCTCAGATTCAAGCAGTGAATCTACAAGTTCTAGCTCAGATAGTGAACCCATCAAAAGAAAAAGAAATAAAAAACACTCGAAAAGACACATTAAAAGATCTAAAAAGAAATCTTAAAAAAGTATTAATATAATTACACTGCCTTTTTTATTTGTGATTTTTCTTACTGCTTATTTTATTTATTTATAATTTGTTGTTGAACAACTTTGTTATATCGCTCATGAATAAATTACAAAATAAAATTCTTATAAGCTTACAATGTATCAGTATATCATGTGTTCTATTCTATGTTGCCATCTATTTGCATGTAACTTATGAACTATATTTTTATGTACAACTAAATAAGTACTTTAAAACTGTTACCTAAGTTATGTATATATATTGTAGTATTACTGTTGTGCCAGGAATACAATTCTATATAAGGCTAATAGACATGCAAAACAGTTTATTATATGTATATATTTAGTAAATTCATGTCTTAATGGTAAATTCCATTGCCATGGTACATGGTAGTGGTATTTGAACACCAAATTATAACATACTAAACAAATTGGCTATACCTAAAACTATTTATATTATAAACAGACAATGAATATAGGACAGTATAATTTATTTATCTACTTCAGGCAACTTAATATTATTTATATAACAATATTGGCCCATTTTATATATACCTTAAGCATTAATATATATAGAAAATAGTGAAGTATAAAATATTAATATTGTCTTTGTCACCACACTAACTGTAGCAATCTGCCACGATAACGCCGGATTTCGGCCAGTACTTCAGCCTTGTTTATACAAAGCAACGTATATCATTGTTGCTCTATAGAGATAGTACAATAAAATATCTATTTTAAGAATTGATTGATCTACCTGAACTGTCTTACAATTATGTACATATATTGAAAGTTTATCTGTACTTAATAAGTTGATTATATTATTACATTTCATTGCGACAACAGATTGTTTTCTTTATATTTATTTCGTAATTATAAGTGTAATAGTCATAACTGAGGTTTTTTTATATATCTATTAACATAATAGATATATAGCCTATGTCACACTGGAACAATGTACCTTTTAGACAGTGAATGAATTTTTAAGATGTGTCAATTATAGTTTATAAATTTATATTACAATCAAATTAGTATCGAGTTGCCAACCATCCTCTTTTACCAGGTCATGTCCATGTCATTAATCAGCATCCTTGGGTTTTAAATTTAAAAATTTAGTTTTATATTTTCATATTGCAAAATATGTAAGTATACATATCTAATTTTATTCAAATACTTTCATTACAAAATATGTACTTAACTTGTTTTTTTTTTAATTTGGGTTTGGCAACCCTGGTATAGGTAAACATATATAAACAAGCGCATTGTGTGCTTCTATTTATAACGATCACAAAATATTTTATTTAATCAAAATAGAAGATTCATTGTTTACTTATATTTTGACGTCACCTTAAATCTTCACCAAATGTGAAGAATTTAGATGATTATTTTTACTGTTGATGAAATTTCCAACCAGGGAGACGTCTTACTAATTTTGTAATTTAAAGTCCTATATAATAGTACATTTGCCTTTATAATGTGAACTATTTTTCTATCATAAAAAATATTTCTATGAAAACAATTGTTTCATTTATTTATTATGTATACACGTTTTAACTTATTTTCTTCTGTGGTAATAGCTCAATTTTTTTAATTACTTGTAATATTTATAATTTTTTAATTTATATAACTTATAAAAAACTGGTTGGTAGATGAAATAGGTACCTACACTACGCAATTAAAATAAATTACACGAAGGCATACCTAACTCCGTACCTAACGATTAGAGTTGGTTTTTTACAGAATTTATTTTACCGCTTTACTTCCGGTGGTCGCAGGTTCGATTCCGCACCAGGTACAAAAATTTAGATTCATAAGTATGATTGTATCGGTCTGGGTATTTTCTATATGTCTAAGTATTTATATGTATTAGTTGTCTAGTACTCATAACATAAGTTCTGCTTATCTTGGGACTACGTGACGTGTGAATTGTCCAGGGGTATTATTATTAATTATTTTAGTATCATATTTCTGTAAAAACTTGATCCTTTTAATCCGATCAACATGTTTCTCATGTCTGTTAGGTACTAGCGTAGCTTAATAGCAGCATAATTCGTGATACTCGTATACCCGTACGATTAGGTATTTAGATTAATTAATTATGTATTTTTATCTGTTTCTTGGTCATATAAGATAAACATTATTATCTACAATAAACGGCAACAATTAGCGCTTATATTAATAAAGTTATGCACTCTGCGGGTTCGAATCTTATCGGAACTGTTAGAAAGTTAATGTTCATATAATAATACTATCTATAGACACTAATAAGTGCCCTATATAATAAAGAATAGTGGCAATAGTGGGTCGTCTACAAATATCTATATCACAGATAAGATAATATTATACAATAATAATGATCACCCTAGTTAATTCACACAGCTGCATCCAATCCCAAGGTATGCAGAGCTTGTGTTATGGGTATTAGGCAACTGATAGAAATAGTCACATACATGTTTTTGTAAATATATATGTATACATCCAGGCAAACACAAACAATCACACTTATAATTCAAATGTTTGTATCGTGCGAGGAATCAAATCCACGACCAAGAGAAGTGAATCGGTGTGCAAATTCCCCAGACCACTGAGGCCGTCGAACTTTCTATCTACCGTTTTACCTATTCCCAAGAGAAGAATTATGTGTATGAATGTTTTACAAACGGACTATATACAGGTACCTACTAGAATAATTGTCATCTAAAAAATTTTTATAGTGAATTAGGTAAGTATTGTGTACTGTGAAACAGAACTGTGATCTGTAGGTACTCAGTTGATCAAGTGACAAGCAAATTACTATGAATAAATAATAAACCATACGGTTCTTGTTCTTGAACGGGAAATCATAAAACATGTTAAATTTCCTATAGATGTTATAACGTGTACCTATAGCGTGTTTACAGGACGTGATATGCCGCCTCAGAGCACCTACTAAATGGACAGTTAGCTTTTGTGAGGCTAAAGTGACTGAACGAGAAAATGACCCTCGTTAATAATGCTATTGTGTGCTACCCATCGTGGACACATCTCAAGACGATTGGGAATAAATACTATTCTGCATCATACTTACGTATTCATAGAAATAGGATTTGTAATACCTACCTACCGTTGGGAAGAGGATTGTTAGTGATGTAGTCAAGTACCTAACCCCATTGCTGTATATCTCTCCAGAAAATGTAATGATTTTAGGAATACTGATAATTGCAAATTAAAGTAGTGTGCTGATCCGCTTGACATTACAGTCGTCGAGTCAATATCGGAAAATTAATCGGAAATTTTACATATTTAATATTGATTGATTGTTATAAATATGTAACATTAATACCTACTAAAAAATCTATCGTAATCTCGCCGTTTTTAGTATATCTGTGCATAGGTGTTGGTAACTAAAATAAGTAGGTGTCTATTGTTATTTTCACAAGTCTGTAATGGTCGCATTATAAATGGAGTGACGTGACCTCAATTTGCAGGAAGTCACCCGATACTTATAGCGTTGGGAGGCCTATCTTCAACAATTGACAACATGCTCCAAAATGTTGATGAGAACATACCTAATATTTATTAGATTGTTTGCTTTGCAAATTTAAGGCACAGTCGTAAAAACAACCTCCATTTGTCCTTAGAAAGAAATGTTAAGCAGTAGTCTGTTTAATGTAACATAATTAATAAGTACTGACGCCTCCGCTCCGCCGTCTGGGCTCATTTTCTTTGCAATAACATTCTTATATGAAGGGCTTGTTTAGCTTAGTAGGGTTAGACGTCATAGCCACAGAGACGAACTGCGGTGGATTAGGGCCCTTAAACTAAATATTATACGTGGTTCAAACCGCACAAAATAGCCAGACAGCAAGTCTCAGTTCAACCCATTTTATGAAAAAAGAGGTTCTTAATTCATCTATATATTTTATTTGTATAGATATTCTATCACCAGTTGGATGAATCTTTTACAATCGCCTTTTATTTTCAATATAATGAATAAAAATTGAATATTATACAAATGTATTATGAACCTACTTATACAGTTGCGGGATACGATTGAAATATTGACAATCTCGATAATCTACTGCTTTAATTCTGATAGTCGCAGATTCGATTTCTCCAACGGTTTAAATATTTGTGTTCATAAGTATGATTGTTTATATCGGTCTGCGTGTTTTCTATATATCTAGGTACATATATTATACCTACTTATATCTATTTACCAAAAATGTGTCTAAGTATATATCAGATATCTAGTAGGTACCCGTAACTCTACTTAGCTCGAGACTAGATGGCTTTATGTTAAGTGGCTTTTAATCTAAGTTAAGGGAATTTTGCTCTAATGGTTTACGCTGGCGAAGCCCCAGTGGAGAATGATGAGTGAGCCTCATCTGGAGCATGGGGTAGCCCATCTTAACAAATTAATTAGTATTATTATTATATTGTTCATCAGGAATTTATCACTATGGTTTCCAGAGGAAACCGCGCGAAGGTCAACCTGATATAGTGCATTCTTTGCAATGGGGGCAAGTTTAGTTTCGGTGGGACTCCAATTATTCAACATAAATATGAACGCAGTTAGTTCGTCTCTGTGCCATCCATTGCGCATGTCGCGAATTTATCGACAAGAGCAGTAAGTTTCCTCTCCAGCTTGGGCACTGATAGACAGCACTCGTTCTCTGCTGGCGGACAATACACACAAATTCTGAAGTATTTTTATTCCTGCTCTTAAATATTGGACTCTCGATACTTCCATTAACATTCAGTGACTATGTTACTAATCGCGCTTACCGCGTTATCCGCGGTACTGCTTGTGTGTGATGGGGTACCAACGCCTACTAACGGCAAAGGTAATATATATTTTTTTAATATTGATTCAATTGGATTTGTAATTTTCATCGATGTCTTATGTTGTGATTGCTTTGTAAATGCTGTGAAGTTGTGATTGTGTTGTTTTGACGAGTTTATTGATCAGTCAGAGGGGGCCGGGCCGCAATCTATATTTAGCAACAGGTGGTCTGCGCGCCGGATTGTTGCTGCGTAGATCCATCTTTTACCGGGTATACATTGTGACCTTTCACACACAATGACCTAAAAATAGAGATCTCATCGATTCTTTCTAGTCATCACTTTCTAGTCTCAGGAGGTCGCGCCTAATTGTGTAATTAATATCTAACTGTAAATAGGTAAGACTTTGATTAAATATATAAGTATAGATATACAATACCTATTTACCTTGTAGGTACCGTTATTTGAAACTCTTCAATATAGGCCCATATCTTATTTTGGATAGGAATTAAGTATATTAAATTGGCCAAACTGTAATATTAGGTACCGACCTAGATTGAAAAAGTATTTTCATAATAATACTTAGGTAATATCTGTTTATTTTCGTTTCATATTTTAGCTTTAAACGCTCAACCAATAGTTAGTGATAGAATTTGTTAACGCCACGCCTAAGCCAAATTCAACTTGGTAGTTACGGATAGAGACACAGTATACTATCCATTCCATTAAATTCTAATATTTTTAATGTAGCCTATTAGGTTTTTAGGTAGTATAAATAGTTTGTAACAGGAGCGCGGACTTAGGCCACCATAGCACTTTTATCTCACAAAAGATCTGGAAGGGGCTGAAATAGCGAATGATAGTTCGATTTGGGAATTCATAATTTCACAAGTTAAGGGTATAAAAGACGATATACAAAGTTTAATCTTTCCGATAATTAGTAACTTCGTACACTTGCCAACAAAACCGGTTTTACTTTATTAAGTATTATTAAAAAAATAATATTAAGGATCCACCTATCGGCATGAATTTAACCTGTCTTTTAAATTACAGAGGTTTAGTTAGTCCCATTATGTTTTGTTTTTATCTCAAAAAAAATGCAATTATGCTCCAAATTTATATACACATATGTAAGGATATAGGTAAGTGTAATCGTATAGGTATCTTACACATTATATTATTTGCAGAACATGTGTTGCCTTTTTAACAAATTGACATTCATTGTTTGCTCGCTTCGGTATGTGCCTGTTTCTTATAATTGTCAGTCACGTATTTGTACATATTATATATATATAGAACTGTTTATACATACAAGCTATAAAGAATATTGTGTAAACACTTTACTGCAACTGACAATTTGACTGTTATAAATATAATTATTGTCAAAGTATCTATTAGATAAATTGAATTTTAGATGGCGGTCCAATTGGTGAACTACCAGAAAATTGGGACCAAACAAAAGACGACACACAATCGTTATTCCTGAACAAGAGTGACAAAAACGATCTGGAGCCGTATCCACTAGCTCTCAGTGAAGAAGGTCTGTATGGCCACACCAAAGCGAGCCACGTCACAGTCTGAAAGTTACTAACCTCTACGTCTACGACTACAATATTGCTGTAATCACGGCCACGCTATAAATTACCACCCAATAGAAAATAATTAAAAATATATAATATACCTAATGTTTATGTAATATAAAACATGTTAATTTAATTTTCTTACAAATTGATTAACATTAGTTTTATTAAAAGAAACAATCGGATCTAGACTTTTTTTTAATTAATTGATTACTTTACGACATTAGGGATATGAACTAAATTTCGTAGAACAAGACTTAAAAAAACTCGGTGCGCTGTCGGTTTAATACAAAGTTACGTAACATATAATTTAATAAATCTGAATTTTTACAGGAAATGTGGAAGGTTACGAACAGGGAGTAGAACAACGCTTCGACTCTCCACAGTCCACTGGGGAACTTGACAATCTCATCATGAGACCCGAATTATACGGCGAGCCTCCAGCTATGGAAGGGTTGTCATCGGGATATGATTCTCGGCGCCGTAAGCGTGGTAGTGGCACTAAAGTTGGAGGAGCTGGCGCTGCCACAAAGGTTGCCACGAAATCGGGATCAGGGAAGAAAAACTTAAAGTAAATTCAATTTGTAAATCTTGTAATAGGTACAATATGTAAATCAATTCCTTATATACTTATTAAGAATACTAGAAAAATATTATACGTATACATATTTTTTAAATAAATTATACTAAAATTTGATTATGAACAATATATGAAACAAAAACGATATACAAATTTAAAACATTTTTTTAAGTATGGGATTTTTTTTCTATTTTTACCATACCTACTACATCTTACCTGTGATACTACTTTGTAAACTACAGTGTCGTAAATTTTAAAAAGTTAAAGGAAAATGTTAAGTATTTTATAATACTTAATTACATTTCAACGTTTCCACTTGTTTGCAGATGATTTTAATAATTTTATTTTTTATAAAGACTTACGTTCTTACCTATTTTGAATCTAATTTAATCCGATTCAAAAGCTGATTCTAAAAAAACTAAATGATGCCTACTTATTTGCAAGGAATGCATTATTTCTGTTACATTTTATGTGTTATAAATTAACACATAAAATGTAACAGTTGTTCATTACTATTATTACTAATGTACTTGCTTATATATATGATGCACGACATTATCTTCAGATCCGAAGAACACGACGCCCTCTCTCCGATCGACTCAGCATCACATGACCAGGATGCTCATCGTCGCAAACGCGGCAGCGGAACGAAAGTAGGCGGCGCAGCGGCTTCCGCTAAAACTGCCACTAAAAATTCCGGTGGAAATAAGAAGAACTTCAGGTTAAATTATGTTTACTGAATTATACTTATACAATACACATATTATATTCCATTTCCAAATTCTATTTTTTTATTAAGACTCTGTATCCAAAGAAAAAAATACCTACTAATAATTCATTCGGTGTGTCTCAGATTTTTATCTTAGTGAAGTTATAACTAATATTATAATTTAACAAGTATAGGGAAATCAAGAGGTAAAACAAATGTTCCATTTACAAATCTCATGGAGCAAGCATATGAATAGGGGACATATCAGGGCGCATAGACAAGATTTATTATATGTATTTTGTTATAATAAGCACATCTTAATAATGATTAAATTAGCCTAAAATTAAAAACCATAAAAAATAAAATATATTGTTAAAAGACACAAGCAAGTACATTATATTTTGAGATTCCCTTATAGTTAATACTATTTATTTATAATAATAATTTCACTCATTCAGGCCCATATCGGAGCGCCGCAAACGTGACTCTGGCCTAAGTGCAGCCGATGTTCGAGCATTGCTCAATTTATGGGAAGCACAAGAACGTAGAAAGCAAGAATGGAATGCCAACCAATGGGCTGCCGATCACTACTACGGTCGCGTAAACACAGTTGAAGACGAACAGCCCGAAGTGGATGAGAATGGCGATATTTGGTATAATGAACCAGTTGTAATTAATCCACGAGAGCGAGAATATCCTCACCATTCATACTTTTCGGAACAGAACCGTATGGCTATGGCTCACGGCTACCCAGACATTTATCAAGTAGACCCCTCTGAACTTGCACAACGTTACGAAGAAGCTCGGCGCAAAAGACAGTATGCCAATAAAGTGAAACGCTTCATGGTAGCCCGAAAACGGTCTGATAACTCGATGCACCAGAATAATTATAGGCCTCGGGATGATCTGTACACGCTTGCGGAGCTACTTCGCTCTGCGCCTCGAATCCAAGAACAAGAAATTCCCGTATACCGGCGACTGATACTTTAAAGCAGTCTTCTTGAGGAAGGTGTCCATTCGAACGATCCTGTAAGTCGGGTTATCATAAAAGAATGAATACAGGTCCTACGATTAGCTTGTCTTAAATCTGGAAAAAACGTAGTCCGATGGGCAACATTATGACATAATTTGGGGCGGGAGAGTGTCGCGCATTTAATTCGCAGTGTGTAGCGGATACCTACCAATTTAGAAATAGAAGAGTACGTATTATTAATAACATTTTAATATATAAATAATTGTATTATTTTATGTGTTAAATATATATGGCCTACAAATAATACTTTTATTTGATGTCCGATTATTTTTTAATACTTTATAAAAATAGTACCTAAAATATTTTTTTATTTAATCCTGTAAGAATTCTTAGTTTCATTATATTATTGCATATCTGTCAAATCATGTAGATTAAATTTTTAAATTACCTGTAATCAAATTTAATTAGATAGATATGTCTAGTTTCTTCGAATATATTAATAGTTTAATGTGAAGTTAAACTTTACATTTTATTAAATGTAATTAGTGTTAGACTTTATGTGTAAATGGTAAACTGCTGTATTAAACTAGTATTATCCTATAAATGTAGTTTTATTTAAAAAAAAGGCCAACTTTTTAAGAACGGTATAATCATCCATATTGTTTAACGGTAGTATGTAGGACTATTTTTCATGGATATCATTATCAATTTAAAATTATTTTGTATTATCTACCTACGTATAGGTGCAAAATAACCTACCTACCACGACACCAAAAACACCTACATTAATTTCTAGAGATGATTGCTAGTATTTCCACTAATCGCGACGTACCCTAACATGCCGACCTCTATAAATCTATTGTAATATATTCCTGATATATTCGTTATGATTCGACTTCATCCCCATCCTAGCCTTCACCATTGGGAGAGGGAGAAAAATTTTAGTAATAAAAGAGTCGCAGTACCATCTTTCTTACCAATGTGTCCTGCCAGAACAACTTCTACGTGGTCTCTCTTAGAAACTGTTGTAGCCAAATCCAATTAAAAATACTATGTTCAGCTAACGGGCCAGACTACATCGTCCTCCACTAGTGTAAAAAAACTAAAATTTTGAATTAGATCTAATGCACAAAGTAACAAATAAAAAAACATATATTTTAGAAAACCACGTACACCTACACCAACGGAAACATTATAGAAATTGAGTACATACTGATCTTTTTTTATTATATATTATTTGATCAACTTAAGAATCTTTGAACAAGACATAACTTTATTATAAAATAAACCTAGTCCATCCTATTATACGTCATCCTATTTTTTCACAAGAATTCACATAATTGTGATGTGTAAAAATCTGGTTGGCAAGAATTAAACAGTTCAATATAAAAAATAATTCAAAATAGTTTTTATATTGTCAAACAATTTAGAGGCAATAATGACTACGGTATTTTCTAACTTAAGCAAAACTATAAGCTTAATATGAATGAGGAATCTCAGAATAGTGTAAGCGAAAAATATATTCCTGAAGAAATTTCAAAAAGCCTCATCGCTTCTGATACTGAAAATCTGGAAATAATCGAAGATGGCCAATTCCACTCACGGCCGAAGTATGAGACGTTTTGTTGGTTTTTTAACTACTCCAGTATGTTCGTATCGCGATTATTTAAAGATTTATTCCGATCATTTTTACATTATTTTTATTCTGACCGGGTTTTCCCTGAACATATCGTGAACTTATTGATGGTGCAAAGAAACATTTACGTAGAACACGAACCTGCCTACATCAGGTATAAATCTATAAACTCGTGTTGTATATCTGTTGTCGAATGTTCAACACAAACAATTCCACTAATTCCAGACAATTAAAACAACCCTAAAATACATTGTTGTGAATAAGGTATTTCAACAATTTTGAGCCATATATTGTTTGCAGTGAAGATGACGTCAGCTTACAATGTGCTTGTAGTAAAGAGCAGATCACTGGTGTCGAGAAAGAACCAATTCTTGTGATTATCGATTTGTGTTGCATTAGTAATCCTAGTTCTAGGGAAATTCTAATAAGTGATCGAAATATTATAACCTCCGTACCTAGAACATATTTAATCAAAAATATTTTGTCTAATGAAGTGCCTTCTACAGACTTACGGAGATAAAAATCGCAATCCGGTGATGAATGAATTACAAATGGTGAATATAAATCTTCAAAGTGAACATGAAATGGCCGTAGATGATACCGAAAAAGGCACCGAGTCAATAGTTATTTCATATCTACGAAATAGAGACGCTTTATAGAGACGCTTTATAGAGAACGAATTTATAGAGCACGAGGGTAAATGATGACAATGGCAAAAAAGAAAGAAAAAAATCTTCACTATTGCATAGTGTTCCTAAAATTGAAACAATAATCGAGGGAGAACAGTTTACTCCATTTTCAATAACGTCTAAAAATGAAATATCACCTGATGTAAAACATGATGAATAACAACATCCACTTGATACTATAAATCAATATAATTATTTACAATGTTTTGTTTCTTAATTTGTAACTGTTATAAAATTACTTCCAAACAGTCTATTATCTTTTTAAATACCTACCTTCACCATTTTCTGCTTTACTTGCAGTTCCGAATAAATTTGCTCTATGATATATATCACAATTTTTTCCGACACCAATAATTAATTTCTTTTAAAACTCATATCGGATGATGAATGTAATCCAAAACTGAAAAGAGCTGTCGAGTTCTTGCATAAAGAAAACGATTTCTTAGTGTCTGCTGAGATCGGCAATGATAAGCTATTGGAGATTATCATAAGGTAAATTAGATAAAGACATAAGATGTTTAAAAATAATGTTTTCTATTTTGAAGTAGTGAACTATAACAACTTTTATTAGAAAATAGAAATTATACTTTAGAAATAAACTAAACGTATATATAATAATAGATATAAAATTTACAATACTGAGTTAATTTACAACTCAACATGACTAAACAGATTGGTAAACCTTATATTTTTTAATTAAGCTAGAGCTAATCAAAAAGTCTATAATCGACCTTAAATAGATGACGTCGGTTGTAGGAAAGGCGTAAATATTCAGCAAAAGGACTATCTCGGTCGCAACGTTCTTCATTTAGCATTGAACTCATACGTATTTTGCTAGACCTTGGAGCCGACATAAACCTCACCATTCATAGGCTAGAGACACCTAAAGATGTAGCTGTAACTTATAAATGTCGAGAAGCTGTTGTTGCACAGAATTTCTGTAGAAGACTCGACAAGGGTCTAAACTAACGTGAAAGAAAATGGGGTTTTGTATTTGCTTTCGATAGTTAAGTACAATGCAAGCAGTTAATATTTTAAGAAGCTCAGCGACTGTTACTTGTAAAATCTTGCATATTCCGTATACAGTATTGACCAACTTTACTTTTTACCACTCACATCACAATCAATTAATTAACTAATCAATTTTCACTTTTTATCGAAAACTATTAATTAGATTAATATTAGAACTCGGTCGCATTGCTATAGATCTAGTTTTAACATTTTTGTCGAGTTTTGGAAATGTGGTATAAACGTAACTATAAAGGGTCTACTGGAACCAGCAAATTTTTTAAAATGCGAGATAAAAGTTTGGGAGCCTCTATTCTACATGATTCGTTATTGTTGAGAATACTAAAAATATCAATTAGTTGTATGCCTATTGCTATAATAGAATTATTTAAAATTAATGTAATGTATAGTAGATACTGTGATAGCAATCATTAAAAATAAAATATAATATATTTTTCTATTTTACTTTCCCACTTCATTTTTCTTGTCAAATAATAGATGTATGAATAACGTTCCTTTATACGTATTTTAAGGCAGCACGGCTTTTATCAATGGTGGGTGACATTACGATTCTGACATTTGTTCTACAGTTTCAAAGATGGCGGCCTTGTCGCAGTTGCTTTTCTCTGCCAAACAATACTAAGAAAATTGATTTAACCACCTATTTTTATACATTTTACAAAGAAATTTAGTTAGATCTTTCCAACTTTCTTATTTATTTGTACTAGTCATTTTGATAATGTAATAATAAGTGTACCCATGGCTTCCAATTCGCAAGATTCGCCTGTTCAGCAGAGATTTGTAGAGGAGATTGATTATAGTGAAATACGTGAAATATCGGTAAGTATTCTATGAATAAAACTTGTTTTCTCTGTTTTCATTACATGGATCTTCATTAAAAAAAATATTTTTTATTTTAGATTGTCGGTAAAGGTGCATTTGGTGTAGTTTGGAAAGGTCTGTGGCGAGACACATTTGTAGCTGTAAAGCACATAAATTCAGAAGCTGAAAGGCGTGAATTTACCATAGAAGTTAGGCAACTCTCGCGTGTTTCACATCCTAATATCGTACGGCTCTATGGAGCGTGTACACAGAGAGACCATGTTTGTCTAGTAATGGAATATGCAGAAGGTGGTTCACTGTACAACGTGCTGCACAATCGCCCCAAGCCTAAATACAGCGCAGCACATGCCATGAGCTGGGCACGACAGTGTGCGGAGGTAAATAGACTAAAACATTTTTGTTATAATTGATAAAAAAAATGTAATCATCATCACAACTCCTTATTGTTTTAATTCTGGTTGTTCCCACAAAAACAAGGGTATGTTTTATAATTTTTTATTTTGTAAGTATTCTTTGTTCAAGAGACTTATTTTTTTAGTTTGTAAATCTTATCAAAGAATTGAACACCTAAGATCACATTAACTTCACACAAAGTATGTATTATAATGTTATTGATATATTTTATAAGTAAAATATATCAATAACATTATAATACATACTAATTTATTTAATTGCATCAATTTTACAGGGAGTTGCATATCTTCATGCAATGAAACCGAAACCACTAATACACAGGGATTTAAAACCACCAAACTTACTTCTAGTGGGTGGTGGTCAAAGGCTGAAGATTTGTGACTTTGGTACTGCAGTTGACAAAGCCACATATATGTCCAATAATAAAGGCAGCGCTGCTTGGATGGCTCCAGAGGTATAGAAATACTAATATTATAATTCCAAAAATAATTCTCTGGCTATTCTCTGTTGGGTATTCATGCCAAAACTATTGAACTGATTTAAATGAAATTTAGTACACAGTTAGTCTACATTCTAAGAAACGACATAGGCTTTTTAATATGAAAAAAGGATTGTAGAGGCTTTTAATAGTGAATAATAATAATATGAATGAATGTATAAACCATTAGCTCTGTGCTGATGGTTTACACTGGCAGTGCACCAGAGGAAGATGATAAAATGAGCATGAAGTCTGGTCCGTTAGCTCACCATGACAAATTTACCAACAATTTATTGTGATGGTTTTCAAGTGAAAAGTATGAAGGCTAACCTGACTTGGTACTCAATCTGGTCACCAGCCACACAATCATTTTTTAAGCTAGAATGATGAAAGTTTTTTTTGGAATATTAAATATTTTTTATTTGGGTTATTGTTTTGTTTATTTCACTTGTAAAAAGTAGATTACTTTCAAATATAAAGCTCATGTAGATACTTTATACCTTAGAGATTTTACATAAATCTTTTAATAAGCTCTTTGCAATGAAGTAGTAATTGTAAATCTCCTGTAGTTGTTGTATTCATTGTAACCAAAAAAATCTATTATTAATTGATCTGAGTTAATATTAAATTAGCATGAATTAGATAAAAAATATTTTTAAATTTAAATGCAAACTGCATTTAATCTTACATGTTTCTGTAATTGGAATGTTTACAAACTAGATTAGATATAATTGATCAATACTAGCAAAGCAATGCATGAATATAGCTTTGTAATCCCAAGTACCAATTAAATATTATTGAAATATATTTATTGTATTCCAGGTATTTGAAGGATCATCATATACTGAAAAATGTGATGTGTTTTCATGGGGTATTATTTTGTGGGAGGTACTTTCAAGAAGAAAACCTTTTGAGGAAGGAGGCTCAGCTTATAGGATAATGTGGGCTGTTCACACAGGTATAATTTTTCAAACAATTTTTACATTTATAAGTGTGATAATGTGTCTGTTGGTGTTACTTTTTATGACCAAACAGCTGAATGAGTCTTAATGAAATTTAATAGTAATCAAAATATAATAAAAAAATATCTTCGTCATGGACGGACATAGACTATTATTATATGTTAAAAAAGCAGACAAAGTAAGAGGACCCAGCTATATACTTATACAATATTTAATAATAAGTATGTTGTCTTTTTAATCAAATGATGATACTTTGAATTTATATAAACTAAATAAAAGAGACTTTTTTGAATTAATACTTGTTTATGTGCAATATAGTTAATGTTCACTATGAATTTGTATTGTGTGCCTTCTAAGCTATACTACTAAATAACATGAAAGGCCAATTTACAGTATGCTGATTAAAACCTTGATAGCCTATCTGACAATATAAATGTTACTACTATATTTTTTTTTTCTTGAAAATTTTTATTTAACAGTAAAGGTGCCAATATAATAAGTATATTTTGTACCCCAAAGAATTTCCATCATGATATAATCCCTACAGAAATAGGAAAGAGGTACATATCTTATCAATTGCACAAAAATCAACTATCTATTTTGAGTTTTGTTAACAGATATACACATTCAGATATTGGTATTTGTTAAATGGATAATGTCAAAAATAACACTCTCAAGGTGATACTCAAATGAATGTAAGCAGAGCTCACATGATGATAGTTCAAATATAATTATTTAACTTTTACTCTAACTTTTAAATTTATTATCTGTCTATGTTCCTTATATAAATATTATATAATAAAGATAGACTACATGGAGATGAAAAAATATTATTATTGTACTCTCATCATAATATTGCACTTAATAGATGTGAATTCTTCTATTTATGTGGAGAAAAATTTTCATTAAAATTTTTTTAATAAAATTCATAAAATGCATATGTGAAAACAATATAAAGAATAAGCAATAGATATAAATATTATTTTTATAGATACGAAAGTTTATTACTTTTAAAATCTGGCAATGGTGATTACAATATTTTTCTTTTAAAATTTTAGGTCAGAGGCCAAACTTAATAGAGGGCTGCCCAAAGCCAATAGAACAATTAATGACACAATGTTGGCACAAAGTACCAGCAGAGAGACCCAGTATGGCTCAGGTATGGCATCTATTTTTATTGTAAAAATGCTTTTTAAAAATTATTGGAATGTAGTAATACATCTGTTTATAATTTTTAGTAGTAAATATAATTTTGTGTGTGTTTTGTAACTATAATGTCAAAACATGATTAAAATTTTAACACATACTTACATTTCCTTTGGTAAAAGATTAAACATATTTCAGCACTTGGAATCTAAGTAGATAAATTTTTTTACACACCACTTTACCCCTGATGGTTATGGGTTCGATTCCTCACATGGTGCAGACATTTGTATTCATGAGTATTATTATTTATGTCGGTCTGGGCGTTTCCTGTGTGTATTATGCAAGGATTTTAAAAAATCTTGTATTTATATCAATTGTCTAGTACCCATGACACTAACTCTGCTTACCATGGAACTAGATAGTGCTGTGTTAATTGTTCAGAATAAAAATAATATGTTATTTATTTTGCTTTTTGTATTTCCTAAGACTTTTCTTTGTTAACACTATCATATTATTAATATTTTTACCAGATTGCAAGCAAATAAATAATATTTCATATCAATAATTCAGAAAGATTTAAAATGTATCAAAAATTTAACAAGTTCTGCACTCACCCACTAATAATAATATATTTTCTTAAACATTAACTAGGCAAATTTATAAAAATCCATACTATATTGTAGATACTGCTGGCAACTGTTTAGGCTGTTTAATAATGTACTAATTTAAATGTAAGTTATTAAAAATAACGGTAAAAAACCTACATATACATAGAAAATTAGCATAGTTTGTTCACATGTGACTGTTAATTTAGGATTTCAAAATTATATCGTAGTCTACAGTGTTTCCTATAGATCAAATATTATGATTATTTATAAAATAATAATAAGGATATCTTCTTTGATCTTAGTTCCTCACACTTTTACTAGAAGTAGTAGTAGTAGTTTGTCATTGTTCTTTATAAAATTTTGTCATTTTCTTATCTAATAGTAATAATCGCCATGTAGGTCTATTAGTAGGTATTTTCGGAAGTGTCTAAGCACTACACTATGTAATTACAGGTTGTAGAAATGATGACAGCGCTTTGTGAGTTCTTCCCAGGCGCTGACAAACCTATTAACTACAACGACTGTGAAGTGGACGATACAGATGACCAGTACTTGATGCACACAGAGGACGGGCTTGGCACCGAGACAGATGACATTATATCGTCCCAGGTACTCCTCCCAACAGACGTAGAATACGAGAGCAGCCCCAGTCAAGTTGTTCTCAGGAATACCAACAACTCCATACCAGGATCCAGGCCGCGCAGTTTTGTAGAAACGCAAGTGACTAAATTACAAAATCTTATTGCGGCCGAAACGCAGCCGAAAGTAACGGCGTTACCTCGTGAGGAAACGGATGCGTTAAACAGAATAGGACCAGTAAGAATTCCGCTACAGTTCAAACCGCCCGATGAAGCTGGCAGGTCGCCTGTATCTATAAACCGAATTTCTAGCTCACCAGTACCTTCTGAAGGCAGACAGTATTTACATAGTGAAGGCAGCACTCCACAGGACAGTTTGCTTGCGGTTAGAAGCCCTATTAATATATTTAGTGAGAGTTCTTCTCCAAAAAGATTGTCTCCTGTAGTTTATTATAATGTTGGCAACATAAACCCTAGGCATATGGATATAGATCAGTACTGCAATGACAAATTATCACCCGGTGGATGTTCATCGGTAGCGACGAGCAATTCTAATTCCCTAAGAAAAGAGGACTACAATCAAAACTATAGTGATAAAGTGAGTGCAGGAAATAGTCCATTGATGCCAATGACTGAATACAATGGAAATATTTCACAAAGTCATCCAATTCAAATGCCTTTACAGATAGATGTCGGTTCTGTAAGTATAGTTGAATTCTCTTCTCTCCCTGATACCAGTCCAGCCACCTATGTACGTAAATATTTATGTAATATTTTTATTTTTTATTAGGCCATTTACCTCCATATTCTGTACTGATATTGTTATTAATTATCTTTTTCACACTATAGCATGATTGCATTTATACAATGATACAAATATTTCTATTAATATTTATTATATTTTAATAGTGACACTAATTACTTCTTAACCATACACCTAGAATTTATATGTACCATTATTGTTCATTATTACATTTTATAACCAACAATCTGATTAACAATTATTCCCTTCTACATATAATATATTATTATAAGATTTGAACATTGCCAATAATGATCATTGTTTGTATTTACAGAACCCTTGGGAGTTGCAAGATCCATATGACTATGACGACCTAAGTGTCAGAAACAGTGCTGGTTTTGATAAATTTTTCACTTTTGGTAAGTATTGCATGCATTTATTGACATAATTCAGAAACTGTATATGGAATCTATGAATATAAGAAAATCATCAAAATATTATAAATCATTACTGCATGTAGAAATGAATATTTTTTTACAAATAAGTCTAGTTCAGAACTGATGTCAGTGCATCAATAATGGCTCTTAAGAAAATTATCTCTTAAAGAATCTTAACAATATTTGTATAGATTACGCAGTTTCTTCCTTCAGAATAGGGTCCAACCATCTCAGAAACCAATATTATTGAACATTGATTTGACAATTTAGGAAAGTAACTAACAATAGCCATTATAATAGAGACTACAGTATTAATAATATTGTCTTGTCTATATTATTATCATAAAATAATATATCAATGTTTGCCAGTTTGAGTCCCTCACAAACTGGTCCATTCGTATTTCTGTATCTATTTATGTTTGTTGCGCAAAAAATTCTACTTACGACTTATTGTTCTAGACTGAGTATATAATAAAGTTTGCTAAATTTGATACTAGATGGCGCTGTATATACTGTACAGATTTATATTTTTGCATATATTTGTTATTCAGGTAAAAATATGCTGCACTTACAGTGCAGCATATTTTTACCTCGATCGTTACTTTATTTTTTACGTTCAAGCGTTCAGCATAATCGTGTATGCTAAATATATGCTGAAATATAAAATCCTTCAATAAATTTTTGAGAACCTCGGTGGACTAGCGCACCGCCTATGCTGTGGGTGCTTAGTATTTATATTATTTATGTATTTACTTTTTTAAATATTTCTATCTGTTGTCTAGCAACCATAACACGAGCTCTGCTGAGTTTTGTATTAGATGTCACTGTGTGAATTGTTCCGGATTATTTTCGTTTATACAAAGACTTCACATGATATATTTAAGTCATGACATCTTTGTCCTCTGGTATGGCAATACGTAAAAGTGGTATCTCTGATAGATCGGACCTTAGTTCTCCGGAATAGCAGATCATTAGGTGTACCACGAGTGTCACACGATGATGTAAAGTCTGTTGTGCTGTTATAGTAGGTGCTTAGTCTATGGTTGCTTATCATTATGTCAGCTTATTTACTATTTAAAGTCTCTGGACCAGAGTGATCATTGTTTCGCAGTTGATATCTCGATTACGTATCCTCTATATATACATGGGCAAATTCGTCTGCATCACACTTACTTAACATTTATCATTATATTTCGCCCAATTTACATAATATCTTTTGAAATTATAAGTTATGTGTTATTCTAATGTATACGCTATATTACTGTAAAATTTCATTAAAATCCATGCAGTAGTTATTGCGTGAAAGAGTAACAAACATCCATCTACACATCCATACTCACAAACTTTCCCGTTTATAATATTAGTAAGATTCTCTGAAGTCTCTTTACAGTCGTGTTTCATATTCTTTAATAAATTATAAGTATCTATAGTATATATGTATACATATTTCATTTGTATGCACATATTTATATACATACATACATATAAATGAAATATCATTGAAACTTTATTAGAAAAACGTTTTTAAAACAAATGGTGGACTTCCTGTTCTATCCCGGACACGAGACCACAAATAGCTACAAATTTCTTCAATACCCTCCTTTGGGAGTTAAAATAGCTTCTGGAATGTTATACAATCTGTAAACTAAAACTGACTGTAGTACAAAATAAAACGAAAGTTGTACAAAAGCAAGACACATGTCAATCTTTTTATAAAATGTTACGGATTTTTGTCGAGCAAAACTTCTGAATCATCTTCAAAAAGTTGTCAGTTCATTTAATTTGTAATAATTGTAAAGGATTTTTTCTACAATTCTAAACCGTTATTTCTAATGTATTGGTACTTTAACTAATAGATTCTTTACAATGGTTCATATATTTTATTTATGATCTCAAAACAATTGAATGTATATAATATTTTTTATAAAAAAAATTGTTTATTATTATTACGGACTGGCACCATCATACACTACTCGCAAAAAATAAGGGAACATAAAAAATTCCAAGTTTATGGATGATTTTCAACATGCTCTATTTCAGTGAAAAATGTTCGTACAGAATATAAAAAAATAAGCTCTTGAAGCTTGAAAAAATAGTATTCAGATTTTTTGGATATCGAATTTTGAATGCAAAAGAATACTACACTATAAGATACAAACATTTGTATTCATGAGTATGATTGTTTGTATCAGTCTGGGTGTTTTCTGGTTGTATGTATATTATCTATGTTAAATACAAAAAAATATCTTATGTATTTATACCAGTTGTATAGTGCCCATAATACAAGCTCTACTTAGCTTCGGACTAGAGGAGACTCTATGAAATGTCCAGAGTTAATACTGTTTATAAATGCATTTGTGAGATAACCATAAATAATCGCTAAATGAAAATATTTTTTAAGTCAATTAAAATGATACCCAAATTAATGAAAATTAATGGGCGTACATTTTTCTTGGTGAGATAGCCTCGCGCTGCGTCGTTAATGTGCATGTGCATTAATCCAACAGCAACAACATTGTCTAAACTTGTAGCAATGCATCATTGGATTGCATGAGTAACCGCGTCGAAATAGCCTTGTCCTGTGCCAGGACGTGCCCGCCCTCTGACTCACGATAGCTCTTATTTATCATTAGCTCTTACAAGAAACACTCTTGTTGTATTTGTTTGCAAACAAAGAAACGGTCATCGTTAATAATTATATAGCCCTAGATAAATTTATACATCTAATAAAATTTAACTGATAGCCATCTGTACTTGAATGATATGAGTAAAATCCTTTATTTTTTAATGTAATAGGACCCAATATATAAAACCGCCTTCCTGTACTTATTATTGATTTTTTAATGGATACTTTTTTTCTGTGCCTGATGTAATATAGTGTATATGTAAATAAATATACAAAATAGGAATAAAGTTAAAGTATATATAAAATAATTTTTGTCTGTACATTTATTCGCGTTAATCTAAATAACGATTTTACTTTATTTTTTTAACTCTATTAAACTTTTATTCCAAGCTATTTACAATGCACCATTTACTTCAAAAAATATAATTGTAGTGTAGACTTTTTCTTCATTTATACTTTTGAATAATCATATTTTTTATTATCAGTCCGAAAGCAGACTCAAATTGTTTCTTATGGGGACGAGTTTTTTGTATTAAAAAAATCTCAGTAACATACTATTACTGCCCCGCTGTAATATATATCCTGTATATTAAAAAATATAATACAATTTATGTTTAGTCCGCTCAAAATCTCCCATATTTTTAGTAAATGCTTATTAATTACTCGGCACGATCAATGTGTAGCTATTTGTTTACAATGCGAATGTGTTACCTACGCTTTTTGATAAATTTAGAAAAGGACAACAGAATCTATTTTATAATCACAACACGTAACGATAATTTATAACGGTAACAAACAATACAGATAAAGGCATAATATAATTTATGTTATCCAACTGATGAACTGATTCATCGTCGCCCCGAGCCAAAAACGCTCAAGCCATAAATAATGGCATTTGATCAGAATTTTATATAACACAATTGTTTTTCGGTTTGCAAGCAATGTACCATGTCAGGTCGACCTTACCGAAATACCCCAGTGATACCACCGTGGTTAAGTCCTGGTAAATTCATCAACATGGCCTAATTAACTTCACGTTCGTTCCATTATCCTCCCCTGGTGCCACGTCAGTACATACCGTTAGCGCAGCCGAGTGAATTATTCCGCATTATACATACAAAAATTTAGAAGATAACAACATCTAAGCTCAGAGCAAAATATTCAATAAGACATTGTTCCTTTCTTATTATTGCTTTACTAATTTTGCATAGATATTGATCTAATAGTCGTGTTTTTTTCTTTGTATAATTGTGCCTTCTTGTGAACACACTAGATAATCGACTTAACGTTATCAAAATCTAAAAACATTTGCATGAGTAATACTTCCTAAACTCCAAGCCGTAACCCTTAAACCTCTATGCGAACTGCGAGTCTTTTCTCGGTCACGGTTAAAAGAAGAAGACCTCATTGGGCTTATTCTCCTATATTTGTTTATACCACAATGGTGGCAAACATATAACATACCATTTTAGCCCCATTGGATGGTAAATGGTTATATTATAGACGCCTGAATTACCAGGATGTAAAGTATTTAAGAAGACGTAGTATTTAAGACGGGAGGAAGCTTCTTTGAATCTCCACGGTCCGAGACCTTAGGTTCCACCATTAAGTTAACTACCTGAACATAGGGATCGCATATTCGTATTTATAGAGTTATCCGCGTGTACCTCTATAGGGGTTGTAATAAATAAGCAAATGTTAGCCGCGATATCTGAGTTTATAGTCAGAGCTTAGTGTGGCACATATAAAGAAAAGTATAATTTCAACGTTTACAAGGCTAAATATTTTTACAGTTAATCATGTTTGAGTAACAAGATATTAGTAATAATATAGAATATTGCTGGGACATTTCCTGAAACGTTACAGGAAACTGTTTATATTATTCCTTTTTATACAAGGAACCAAGTTTTGACAGCTACTCATTAATAGGTATATATTTTAAGAAAGGTATTATTTTATGAAGCTTTATATTTTAACCCTAATTAAGGCGTATTTTGGAGGATAGGAATTAGCTGAAAAAAGTACTCCCACCCCCTAATATCTTGTCTCCATACAAAATCCTAGCTACGCCCATGTTTTCATGATATATGTATTCAATGAACGAAATGTATTTTTGAAATATCTTTTCCAAACCTAGTCATCAACGTTTCACCAGTATTTTTAAAACATACCGTGGCTAACCTAAATAAAAACCGAATACAGTCCCTGAAACGATCGAGTCGATCTGTAGCGATCAACTTGAATTATTCACAAATATTTTTCATTTATCTAAATTAAGTGCAACTGGCGAACTGTTTTGTTGTTTCTGTTCTTCAGATTTTCGTTAAACCGTAGTATTTTGATATTATGTATATAC